TTTTCCCGCGGGATTAAAATGACTTAATTTAAACTTCGTAACGCCGACACGGACGCCGCGCAAAACGACAATCCGCCGATTTTATCCTTCGTAAAGCCAGCCGCGCCGCCCGCATTTAACGCAGGCTAATTCGGCCGCCTTTATAAGGTTGTATAAGGAGGACTCGCCTCTTCTCTCGCCTTCTCAACTCCTTTGCCTCCGCATCTCCAAGTGATTACGAGACTCGCTTAGTCTTTCCGGAGAAGAAGGCCTTTTGCTTTCTTTGCTTCCTTTCTCTGAAAACGAAAAAAATTCGCTCATTTAAAACGTCTCGAATTCGTGTCCTTTTTTCATCACATGCTTTAAAAACAGCCGACAGCGAATTATTTTCTCATTCATATTCTTCAACAATTATAAATCGAATATTCCGCTCATCTTCTCAATTCAACTTGCATGAAAACTTTCGCTCACTTTTGCATTGCTCACATTTTTCGACGATCTCGCCGAGAAATGCAAGGATGAAACAAATTGAAGACCTTCCGTTCTTATCTAATCGTCATCGCGTATTCGAAACACGAAACGCGGGAACAAGCGAAGCCCGAAACAAGCCCGAAAATAGTGAAAACGGCTGACATGACCCGCGGTGTCGCGCGATAATCATAACTCTTCGTTGCCTCTCGCAGAGTTTGTACAAGGCGCGGGAAAAATACGTCGCCTGCCAAGCCGGGAAGCTCGCACCGGAGGAAATGATAAATTCCGGTACCGCGCGTACGTGACCGGGTCATTCGGGGATTTTTCGGGACGGGTGTCGCGCGCGACTGAACGAGGAGGAGGCTTTATCGTGACAAATGGCCGCGGGACGAAAATTTGCCTAATTAAAACGTAGAGCGTGGTCAACACAGGCGCGCGCATCCGGTAGCATAGAGAAAAGGGATTAATCCCCGGCGTACGACGGAATTTAACCCTTATCAGCGCGCAACCGGGATTAACCTATTTTTTTTTCAAGAGGAAGAGAGAAGGAGAGAAAGAGAGAGGGAGAGATAGAGAAATTACCAGATTGAATTTGTTCGTCGAAACTTGGAATCTCTCGAAATATTACACTCTGCCCACACACACACACACACACACATCTCTGTCTTTCGTCTCTTTTTGCAACAATTGCTTGTTTCGCGAAAAAATAAAATTGTTTACAACTTTTTTTCAGCTTGAAATTTTTGAATTTCAAGTCTCGTGGAATAATATTAATTGTTTTGAAATCAGCGAGCCGGAATTTGCGCGATGTAATCTACTTTGCGAGATATATTAATCGCGCAGTTTGCGAAATCAAAGGGAGAGAGCCCCGTGATTCCGTGAGTAAAGTAAACCCTCTTGATTCTCTAATAAAATCAATCATGCACCAATAATCACAATCGCGCCGGACCGTTTCTTCTAACTCGATAGCTTCTCGAGGACTCCGACGACTTGGAACGACGAGGGGGTAAGGGCGGTGGGACGGGGGGGGGGTCCAATCGGTAAGAGCGCCGCTCGATAAATCCCTCGGCAATTCCGGCAACGCCGAAAAGAGCCGCGGTCAATCTAGTCCCCGACAGTCGCTCTCGCTCGGCCACTCGGAAAAAGCATCCGACCACTTTGCGGTGTCCCCCTTAGTTTACTCGTTTCTTTGCTCTCCCATCCCCCACCTCTCACCGTCCTCCCTTTCTTCTTGCCGCTCGTAAGCTCGAGGGTGGCCGATCTTCTCGGCTCGCGCGACGACCGAATCGATTCTCTTGGATTTGACATTTTATTTTTTTTTCCTTCTATCCCTCTTTTTCTCTCGCTTTCTCTATTTTTGAATGTATTTTTTTGACGGGATTCAAATGTGCAATATTATAAACGCGCGTGCGTTTATTGTATTTACCTCGAGCAAATATGAAAAATGCTCCGATCGGCTTTTATTAATTTTTAATCCGCTCATAAAAATGTGAAACGATGAAACAATATTTAATATAAAGCTGAGAAATATATTATAACTATACCGTCGATTTTATTTAACCGCGATATATTCAAAATGTTACGTGCGCAGCGTTATGATTAATAACATGAAACATGAAAGAAGTTAATATGTTTTTACAATGCATGCGTAATTAATGGTATAACTTTGTCTCTATAGTTTGCTCTCTCTTTTCCGCTGTGTTTTATTTAAATTAAAACTACATTTAGACTGGCAGCAATTAATACAAAACTGAACAATTTAATTCGAAACTCTGTTTCTCTACTTGTGATTCATCATGCCGCTCCGGGTATTATCTTCCACTTCATCTTCACTTCGAAGTACGACAACCATACTCGCCTAACTTTACGAGCGTGTGCGCCTTACCCGTTAGATTCATCTTAATTAAAAATATTATCGAAGTAAAGAATTAATTTTAAGGCAAATTAAAAAAAGAGGAAATCAATAAAATATCCATCACTTTTTCTACCACATTTTAAATCATAAGCAAATTGTAGTGCTTCTCAAGTATTATTAAATTTTAGTGCTTCTCAAGTATTATTCTCACATATATTTTTATATAATTTTGGAATTTTCCCTTCATAATACAAAACATTATAATAGAAGATATTTTATTTCTACAGTAAATATCAAATTATTTTCTTTTACTTGTTTTAAAATTTTTTTCTATGTAAGAATTTTTTGGGTTATGTGCCCTGTACTCGAAACAATTATTGTCATAATAACGATTCGTAAGGAAAGTGAAATTTAACCGTGGAGACGATGGCTGCGCCTTTCATTTGCATATAACGATCGCAATTTGGTCGTGCGCGAAAGAGATAGATACATCTTCCATTCCCAGGATTCTGTCTGGAAAAAAAACGAATACCGCTCGACCGCTAGAAATCCGACAGTCTGTCTGATCGGAGATGGGAATTAAATAAAAATCACGCGAACTGTAGATTTGGATCTCGCGCAATCGGAAACGAGATGAGCGCGGTACTCGCACTGCTCGCTCGTCTGCTTTTTCGCCCTCTGTTCTGCATGCGAATGAGAGAAACGGGGACGAAGGGAAGGAAAAGAAGGGATGCGGCGATGAGCGAGTAGGGTTGTAGTTCCTCATCGCTCGCTACGACGTAGAGCGTCGTTGAACCTAAGTCGAGCCAAGAAACGGGACGGAAGGAAGACTGCATTTATTAAACTGAACGCGCAGACGTGTGCACCCCCTTCTCGCGGTCCGTCTTTTACCCCGGACGCTCTCGCTCTGCGAAACCCCCTCGATTTTTCCTCCGGTCTCTCTCTCTCTCTCTCTCTCTCTCTCTCTCTTTCTGTTTCTCTTCCTCTTCCTTCCGGGTCTTCTACCCGTTCATAATTTCTGGCCACCGTTACCTCGGTGGAATGGGGTCGGTATGTGTAAAATAGTGCCTCGATACGCTCTTCATCACCGAGTCGCTCTTCTTTCCGCTCGCTTTATTTTTTTTTCTCCTGCTTCCTCTTGTCCCCCTCTTCTCATCTCTTTCCTTATTCTACTCTCCTTGTTCGTTGGTACTTGTTTTTTCCTTTTCTTCTTTCTTTTCTTTTCTCCTTAGTTTTCTTCTCTCTCTTTCTCTATCATTTTTTCTTTCTTGAATTCCTTATATTAATTTTTTTTCTTTAAATTTTCTTTCCCTCCTTCATCTTCTTTTCTTCGTAATTCTTATTTTTTTTTCATATCATTTCTCATATCATTTTTCTTCCTAATCTTTATCTCTTTCTATCTCTCTTTTAATCCTCCATCTTTTTTATTTTCCGTCTCACTGTATATTCCTTGCTTTTCTGTACAAATTTATTTTCTGGCTTTTCTCGTATATTCCTTTCTATATTTAAAATGACGTCACGCATTAATATGATTATACGAAACGTGGGAGGTTCTGCTGTGTTTGAAAATTAGGTTTGTTTCACGGAAATCATCGTCGGTGAAGACCGCTGGAAGTATCGATCGGCCGGCGATCGTAGATGACGAATATGCGCTGAGCATATCGCATCATCCCCTCTCCCTTCTTCCTTGCTCTGTTATGCGTACGGTAGTGCACGGAGTGCGAGGGCGCGAGACAATTAATCAACCGGCACAATCGCGCGCACCTACTCGCGCGACTCTAGCCCAGCCCTGTGACTGATTCATTATGAGACCTTAATTAAGTCCCCAGACATTAGCATACCGACCACGCCGCGATTTTTCTCCCTCCGCGTCTCAGTTCCTTCGTCTTTAGCTTCCGTTTCTATATTCTTTTGTACGGTACGGTGTATATTTGATTCTCTGGAATTTGTCACCGAATCTCCGCAAATTCGATCGATTTCACCCTCTACCGAACAAAAAGCGACTTGAATCGAAGAAAAGTTTTCGAGGAAAATTTTCTTGGCATAAACTTAGATTTAAAATATATTCTGGATGAAGAAAGGAAACTGATAATATCGCTGAAAGAAATGTCATTATATTAACTAGAATCTTCGGCAAATGGAGATGAAAATATTTCAAATGAGTTTCAGATGCAATCGGAGAAACAAAAATTGAGTTTTCAGAGCCAATTTTAAAATTACACATTTGCATATTAAAAATGAGGAAAAAGTATATCCTCACGATTGGACGGGACGAAAGGATTGGAATGAGCGCAGGTGTCCGTCGAGGATGGCTTTATCTTATCACGTGCCGGATGTGGCCGTGCTTTCCGACATGGGATTCTTTATTGGACAGTTAGATACCTCTGATAAAAACGCGCCACTTTACGGTTTCATACTAATGGAATTTTCCGGGGCGCGATTTTCATTAATTTCACGCGAGCGAGCGAGTAAAGGTTAATTATTATTGCAGTCTTAAATTTTAAAATCCACGTTAATGTCTTTGTAGATATGCTCCTAAGTGTATCGAATATTGCTTGATCGCGAAACCCACGGATCGGACAATACTTTTTTCGAAAAACAATACATTTTCACCCTCACCTTCCCTCCCTTTTCGTGCTCCCGATTAATGTGTCTTCGTCAATAAGATTAATCGGTGATACTCTCGATTTTTCAGCACGCTGAGGTGGAGGATGGAGGAGCTGGAGACGCTGGAGAGCACGGAGTGCCCGGAGTGCCCCGGGCCACCCCCTGAGTTCCGGTTGCCGCCGCCTCCCCGGCCGCCCTTCCTCACCGAGGGCACCTTCTGCTCGGAATCGCCTCTCGCCGAGCTCGAAGACTGCGTTGCTATCCCGGTAAGTCTGCCTTCTCTATTTCTTTTTCTTCAATTATGCAACCTGATTTGCGGAGTGCTGCACTGATAAGGGCTGATTATATTGCCCTCATCTCTGGAAATCTCTCATTTAACTTCCCGATCCGATCTCAATCGAGAGAGTCGACAAGTTTGCAAGACATATTTTTATTAGAATATTTTATTAAGATCTCTCGGAAATTAAGGGGAACTAAAAATGTTAATCAGTTCAAACAACATTTTCTTTACTTTACGTGATATAAATATAAATTTATACACAATCAGAGATAGGCATATTTAAAATATTTCTAATTCTAATTAAAATCAAGTAAATATATACTTTAAATGGGATTTTAATTAATAAAATACCTTTTCTCTTTCTAATCATTTCAAAATAGTTTTTCAAGTCGGAAAAGTAAAATATTAACATATAGCTCTATTTTTTCTATGTTATAAATGGTTAGAGAATGAGAAGTAATAGTTTATTTATACATTAATTAAAATAAATTTAAAATATATTCTATCAATTTAATATGTATTCTTGATTTTAATTAGAATCAGAAATAAATATTTTAATATGCATTTTTTCTCGTTATAAAGCGATTTCAAATAATCAATTAACGTATAGTTACTTCTCTTATGATTAGATGATAAAATATTAATTTTTATATTTATATTTATATCAATTTGTATGTATTCTATTTTCTTTCTTTACAACTTAGATCTCTTAGATCCATGTTTTAAAATTATTATTATAATATACATATCATTGCAGTTGTTTTTGTTGATGTTGAGCAGTATATTTAATGGATATTTTCAAGATAAATGCACATTTGTTTTTTTCCTTTTCTAATTATTTTTCTTACTAACCATCACTTGAAATAATAAAGTAAATGTTTGATATGGAGTTTTAACGAGCTTCAAAAATATTGCAATGTTTCAATTACTATATATTGTAATAATAATATATGGTAATTTATTAAAACTAATTTATTTTATGTTTGCAATTTCAATTATTACAAATTTCAAATTAATATTTCCTACATGTATATTTGTAGCAATTATATAATTTCCTTCATAGAAATATTTCGCAACTCTCTATTTAAACGAAATGATTTAAATTGCCTTTATCAGTCGTTTGCAGTTGAAATGCGCGTCCCATCTCCGTACGTAATATTCCCAGAACAGACCGCTTGCTTTATTTCGATTGTTTTAACGGGGCGCTCTCGGTGCACGAACGATACTCTATTTCGTCTGAAGGGGCGGATAGTTGAAAGCGCGCGTCATCGGTGGCCCGAACTAATCTGCAAATCGCCTTTCCTGGGCACTCGTCGAACGACGCGCTCGCTAATTCCACGATGCGCCTCGCTACTTTAGATCCGTAACTAACTCCGTAATTCAGCCTTCTTTCCACGGCTTATATCGATCTCCTCCCTTACGATCGATACGCGCATTCGAGAAGCAGGGAGTTATCGCTTTTGTCGTTTGCCCGCGCTCGTCGCTCGCACGGGAGAATATTTGCGCGCCGTATTCATGAGCGAATACCGGGATTCGAAGATCGATGGTCGGAAGTTCTGCGAATACCCGCGGCTTTGAAATATACGCGCTCGAGTTTCGCGATTATTAAAGCACCGGCGAAGAGAAAAAGGGCGAGAAGTTTGAGAGGATCGTACCGCGAGTACTTAGCCGTGAGAAAAATTATTGGAAATGTGGTTTCTCCAAGATTCCTCAAGACCCGCTCGATCTTTCATTTCTTTTCTTTCCAACTATACGCACGTATAGTTTACGCATTATTATCATTTAATTATGTGTGCGTTCAGAGTAAAAAAAAAATAATCGTTACAATTATATATATTTATTCTAATTGAATGTGGTCAGATTAAAATTGACATAAATTGCCATGTTAATGGGATTATTATATTTATCCGAGTGAAATAGCGCGGCCGAATTTACATGATATTTGACGCGGGCAGCTTTTAGCAAAACGTGCTGAATTCTCATCATGTCCGAGAAGCGTTATCGCGATCGCAAGCCGTTGAATCTTTCCTTGATACGCGCGCGGATTCTTCGTCGTGAAAAAAAAGTCAACGCGCCGGAGCACTCGAGCGAAAATCCTGCACGTATCCCTAAGAAATTGGCCGCCAAGTACCGGGCGTTTAATTGTAATTACAATCGCAGAAGCTCGTCAAAGCGCTTCTTTCCCCCGCGGAGGAGATAAATTGGATATCCTGCTGTTATCTCTTTTGATCCGTCGAGTACGCGCAAGAACTGCCCTGAATAATAGAGTATCATGGTGAACGGGTGATGGAAGAGGGAGGAGAGGGGACAAAAAGGCGCACTCTGGGGCATCGAGGGCTGGGGAGGGTGGCTGGAGTTAATGTAAAATACATAAACGGAGCACTCGAGCAATTAAAGCAATCAGCATTCGCCGGGATTTTTCCGTCTTGTCTCAAAGCGTTTCTTTTCTCTCCCCTTTCCCTCCCTCGTCAATTTCCCCCTTTCGTTCCCCTCCCCCCTCCAGACCTTTCCCTTCGAAGCGTGGCTCGTGTAATATGTAAAAAAAACGTGTATTTCTTCGACAATTCATTGCTCGTCACGCTAGAAAGCTTTTATCGAACTTCCATTGGATGTTATTCCGGAGCATTGTTACGTTTCCAATAGCGCGGATGTAAATCTGGTTTGTTCTTCACAAGCTCTAATAATTTGTCGAGTGTATTCGCGTGCACGCGAATAGTAATTAATTACGATATAAATGTAACGATAATAATTTCAACGATATAACGGATATTGATATACGAAGCTGTTTTCGCTTTTTTTTATCGAATTTTAAATAAATAGAGCAGAACACACACTCCGATACACGCGTCGAGCGTAATTAATTCTTATTTTGTTCTGTTCCACCGGAACAAATTACGCGCCACAAGAGCGAATATATAAATGCCCAGTATTATCGTCGCAAATGTGATGCCTTTAGGTAACGCGAGAACGAAATGGAATGGACTGGATTAAAGCGAGCGCGAAATAAAAAAATATTCAATATTAAAGCGCATCATGCGGAGCGAATCTCGTATAATAAACGCACGTGCGTGTGTATTTGTGCACACGTAGATGTATATAAATCAGAGAGAGATTCCACAGTGTTCTAACATTTCTCTGCTCTAATATTTACCGTGCTACACCGTACGGTACATGCAGCGTCTTTGACCCGTTCGCGTGATCTATATCGCACGACCGGACGTGAATGGAGCGGGAATCGCACGGATGGGAAAAGAATTCCAATTAAAGTGCGTCACGCGATTCTCTCCGTTGACCGGATCTCTCTCCTCGATGCGACTTCTCACGTACGGTAACTTGGCAGTGACGTAACGAGTCCCTCGATTCTTGGTCGTTAAACCGTAATCGCGTACGATGATTGCATTTTGAATATTATTGGAAAATTAGGATCATCTTCAATTTTCTTCAATTTGATATAAAATTTGCATGGAGCTTTCTTTCGACTTATAATTAAAAGGGGGGTTTCTTCAGGCGGGTAAAGAGGGTTTATAGAATCCTCAAAAATGAGAATCTATATCTTGGTAAATGCACCAAGTAAAACATATGCATATGCCTCGTGCACGTTTAAATTTTCGCGAACATTTAATCTTTAAGAAAAATTTACGCATTATCATCCGCGGTGGCTCTTATTCGCTAGTTTCTTATCGTGTTGTTTAAATATATATAGAGCCTAATTCCTTTCAATTTCATTTTAAAATTTAAAGTCATGATATTTTAACGCTGGAAAAATTTCGATTCTTTATTATTCTATATTTAGTCATTATGTTAGAAGGTGAATATATCGATGAGCTAGCAATTATTTAGTATTACATATGTATACCTAAAAAATAAACGCATGAGCGAAGGAGCATTTTCTCTCGTTTATTTAAGATTTTTATCATTATAGCATGTCACATAAAAAAATGAAATGCTTCTTCGTGACACATTCTGGATTCATTTTTGCAATTATTTCCGTCGTAATATTTAAGGATGTTTTGTATGTAAAAGTGTTGTCAGCAAAAAGAGCTGAAAATCAATATCCACTTTCGGTGTATTTTGAGTATGAGAAATTGTGTGGAATATTATAATTTGATCTTAGCTACAGTGCAGAGATGTACTTTTTAATATTGCGTTTTTACTGAAATATTCCGAATTTTGTTAATCGAAATGATTAACTTTTGGTAGAGAATTTCGCCTTGTGACAGATACATGGCTAACTTTATTAAATTATATTTAATATCTTGTTAACCAGTTAATACTTGTATAATATTATTTGACCAAATATTTCCTCTGTATCTAAACTTTTGCAAATTTTAAACAAATTCTGAAATTTATTTCCATGTGTTTTTGTCATTTGAATCGACGTGATTATCCGTTTCCCATAAGAACACATGTTAATTCGGTGCAAATTAAATCCTTGTAACTTGTGAACGCTTTAGTGAACCGATTTAAAAATTGTATTGAAGATTCTAAACATATGTAAGGATATTTTATACAATTTTCATTAAATTCTCAATATTTTGAAAATAGGTACAAAACATCCTTAATCGTAATTGTAGATAAAAAGAAGGCTTTCCATGCAAATTTTAAACCAAATCGGAGATGATGACTATAATATATACATATAAATATAATATAAATATAATATAAATTTATCAATTTATTATCGATCATTATAAAAGATTTAAGGAGTGAGACATTATTATTATCGTAGCATTCTTTAATATTTGTTTCTGCGAATGAAATGAGCGAGATGGGAGTAAAGTATTAAAGATATATGCACACATGTGTATATATTTCTCTTTAATAATAGCAAGATAGGAAGCTAAACTGATGCAGGAAATGAATCGGAGCAGTTTCATTATCAAGATACCAACGATTCCACAATTACGAGCGGATCGAAGGTAACTTTACTCGATGAAGCAAGAAAACAATGGTCGCGGAAATCCGACGTTCGCTGAAGAAGAATCA